TATATATAATATATAAAATTAATAGCCGTATTTCAGAGCTCCTAAAAAGTTTCGACATTAAAAAGTCAAACTATGTCAGATTCCTATCCAGGATTTTTCGATCGCCAAATACTATATCACGAACCATCGCTCTCATAAAAATGTCGACGGCGTTAAAATTCCATACAAATTTTGACAGACCTATAGTTTCTCCAATATCGCTATCGGAAGCCTCTCCCAAAGCTATATCAAGCTAGAAAAAAATATATGCGAGACACGATTCGAATAGCTGGGCGACATGCGATTCGTATCCTCTAACAAACCTTCATTTTATGCATTTATAATCGATTGATTATTGCGGGACTCCCGCTACGAGTAGCGTTTTGCAATTTGTGTGTATCATGAATTTACGTAATAAATGTACAATATGCGAATGTTTTGTACGTGTTTCCCCAGCGATCGCCACGTATGATCATATCCAAATCGCGACAAAAAAAGAATTTACGACCGTGCGCAACGACACGATAAATTCGTGCGTGCGTAGCATGATATCGCAGACTCCGTAGATTATCCGGCAGGAGAGATGAGCAGTCAAGTAAGCACAACGAACACATCAATCCCAGATAGGATAAACAATCTATCATTCTAATTGATACATGGAACATCTTTTATTTATCGGTTAAAAATGATTGTAAGATAATAAAAAAAAAAATAGTTTTTACAATTTTTTCTAAAATTTAGAAACGATCTAAACTTTTTAGTAAAAAGAAAAGAATGACGCACGAAAAGAACGATAAGAATTTTGATGAAATACTTACAAGCCTAGCTAGATATAAATCTGAAAATAATTTTGTTAAACTATTAAAATACATTTCTAATTATGTGTAGGATGCTCAAATGCTAAAATGTTACATTTTTTTATAGTATTGCTAATCAACAAAATTGTTCTTCCTGTGGCTTTTTACTAATATCAACTATCATTACATACAGTAAATTCAAAAAAAAATTTAATATTACAAGAAATTGCTATTTTGCAACAAATTTTAATTCCGGCGTTGATTACCGTGTTTTGTCTGTAGATCGAGAATAATCTCGGACTTGTGTTTTGGAAATGCAGCATATGCATATATGCACGAACGTACGCGAGTGACGCGAAATATTTTTGCGGAATGCAAGAACGTGGAGTTATTCTCTAATCTCTACGACTACGTTTTTCCGCATGAACTGAGCAGAATTGGAAGAGATAGAATGGGTGCATTGAATACATGATTCAAATGCTTTTAATATTTATTTTACATATAATAAAAATCTTTCCTATTTTCATGAAATATTTTGCAGCGATTGCAAAAATACTCTGTTATTTATCAGGATCAAAGCCATAATGCTTGTTTTACAATAGAGTTGTAAGTCGCAAGCCGTAAGAAATTGATCAATCACAGTTGAATATGAAAAAAAATAATTGACTATACTTCCTTTCTTACGGCTTACGATTCTATTGTAGAACAGGCTTAAGAAGAAAAGTAAATAAAGCAGAAAGTGAAATATAACAATAAAAAGTATATAAAAGTCGTAAATTAAAAGTCAATTCTTTAACTATTTTTTAAAACTTACATATATGTAAATATTCTTCATGCAATAAAAATTATAATTATAAGATTTTTAATATATTAATTAATTTAAGAATATATATTAAACTTTCTTTCAAAATAATGAAAAGTTACGGAAAAAATACTGATTTATTCTAGATTATGTTATAGTAATACAAAAAATTTAGCGACGGTTCATCTATTGTCCAAATATCTTTTAAATAATAGATTAAAAGTTATAATATTTCAAAATTGCAATTATTTAATTATTTTATCAATTTCAAAAAATAGAAATAATAACAAATTAAATAAAAAAAACCATTAAAAACGTATTCATGAAAAATTGACTGTATAAATACAACTTTCAGATATGTATATAGATTATTTAAATTATAAATATTAAACATATTTGTAAAAACAAGTACAATAACATTCACTAAATGAGTTAACAAATGATTCATAAAAAACTTTTTCAACAGCCATATGCTAAAATCTAAAAATATAAAAAAAATTATTTTCCCTTTAGAATAAAAAAAGAATTACTTATGCCTCGAAAGATATGCAATTCAGGAAACATTGGTGATAGCTAATTTAAAGGGTGTTCGCTTAGAATTTAACGCGCGAGTCTGCTTCGAGCTATCGCACGAATAAAGTGCATGTAACAGGACAGGAGAGGTTTCTCTTGATCCCGGCTCTCGTACATTACACCCGTAGCTCATCGTGATCAGAGGAGTAGCACGGTACGTGCTCTCGTCGCGAGAACACAACGACGGGGAATTGCGGGGAATGTGCCAATCTCCGTGTCGATGCACCTTTTCCGTTGTTGCTTTTTTACTCGGCCATTCGGGTCCGGGTGCGTCGCACGATACCGGCCTCCGTTCCGGCTGCAATTCCATTAACTAGATTGCGCATTGTCGTGCTCGCCCGTGAGGAAGACCCGATGGCATCGACGCGTGCCCCGTCGTCCGTGTCAGCGCTTATCTGCGTGGAGATTTTGGCGCCACGAGAGGATCAAGGAGAGAAAGAGCGAGAGCACGGTATGCGCTGAGAATGCAACGGGATCAGAACTCGATAGCTCGAAAAGGAGGAAACATGGTCCAACATGGGCGCAACGTTGCCGAACTGCTTGTCGTAGCTATCGCCGTTCCAGCTCGTGGATACAGAAATTGTCAATATCAAACCGTATCGACTGTTGTCGATACGGTTTGATGAAGAGCATGGGAATCATCCTAGCCACCTCACGTCGCTGTAATAAAAATGTTTGCCGAAAGATAAAAAAGGTAAAAAAAGATCATGTTCGATATTCCACGGTTCTATATTGTATACAAAAATTGCGAAAAAAATATGCTATTCGTAGTTGTAGCTTATCACATCATATATTATTTATATATACTATTCACAAATCGATGATTGTTTATTTTATAATTTGTTGTTTGTATAATTAAATCTTTGAGCAATAGGTTAAAAATTATTACTCGAAATTAAAAAAATTATTTGATTTTTTTGCAAATTGTTTCGTTTTAGCAATTTTATAAAAGAAGACTATGAAATCCGCTGATGAAATCTGAGGAGATATAGAATGAGCTCTCCCAAATATAGTGATATTCCATATTAAGGCGCTGTTGGTTAACCGTTGCCGGAATATTAAAGGAGAAAGTCCAAAAATGGTCAACATCTGAAAAATCTTAAAAATAGAATGCTCTATTTGTTTGTCTGTTTTATTGTATGCCAATAGAAATACAATGACTGAAACAGACAAAAACAAGTAGATACACAATCGGTGAGGCACCAACATGCTGCTACAACGCCCACCATAAAGCGCAGAAAGGGTGATGCCACGCCTTAATACATAAAATAAGCAAACAAAAAACAAATAATATTATACATCATACATTATAATAATAAATAATATTAGGATAAAAATATGAATGGATATAAAATTAGTTTTCAACTTTTTCTGATACTTTAACAATTTTCCCTGCACTTCTGTGATTGTAAATATTTCTCTATTTCGCATATTTTAAGGAATAGTGTAAAATTGATCTTTTAGATGTCGGTTCAGGATTAACTTTAGTCATTTTTGGATTTTCTCTTTTAATATCTTGGAAATAGTTAATTGTCAGTGCTTAAATATGCAGGAGTATTATTTAGGAGCACTCACTCTATTATTCTGCCAAATTTTATTAAAATCGACGATCAGTTCATAGCAGTTAATGGAAACAGAAATACGCATAACTATAATAGGAAATTAACAACCTACAGTAATATTATTTCTCGGTACAGTCAAGAAAGGACCGATTCTTTACAGTATAAATTAATTTAAATTAGTATATTAGTGAATTTTTTAATAATAATTCACAAGTTTCTTTTTCAATTATGCGCAATATGCATATATATATTAATCCTTTAAAATTATAAAAATAAAATTATCACATAAATTAAAAAAAATAGATATATATTAGAAGAGATTTTGAAAAATATTCTTAATAAAATAACTTTTATTTTACATATTATATATTTTGATTTAAAAACTAATTTTCTTGAAATATTAAAAGCCGTTTTATATGCAAAAACCTAGAAAATTCTGATCGGCATCCCGTTTTTCTTTACATTACGTACGTGATGCCGCATCGATCCCTCGGTTGTTTCTTTCTCTCCGACGAACGCAGGCAAAATTATCCGGCGAGAAACGCCAAATTTACGGGTGCTGTATAAGAACGCCGTAATCCCATCAGCGTGCATAGCGAATGGTGAGGCGGGATGGGTTCTCGTGCGCACACATTGTGGGCGCATATTGTGCCCGGAGAAAGACAATGCGGCCCATTGTCTCTCGCGACGCGTGCGGTCGACCCGGCAAAAAGAGAATAGAGAAAAAACCCCGCGGCCGAGACTCGGGTTTACGACGAACCGGGTTGCTCCGGTTCATCCGGAGGTACTCTTTGCCCCATCGTCTTCTACGACAAAAGCGATCCAGACGAAACGCGTCGTTTCCATGAGATGACCATAGACACAAAAATCTAACAATACAAAGTTCGAAATACCATCCTATCTGTATAAAGAGAAAAGCGCATTACATACGAGACTCGATTCTATCCTATTATTCCCTTCATTATACATTTCTGCAAAATTTGATAACGAGATATACCATAAAATAATTTAAATGAAAAATTTTTTAATCTGAACTTAAGGAAATGAGTAGTATCAAAAACGTAATCGCGATTAGACAGATTAGATATCCAAGACAAGATTTAGATTTGTCATTACTAATTAGATTACCTTATGTAACTTTATATTTATAAGTTGTTTGTCTACTTTTCGTGCTTTTAAATCTTTTAGTTATGCTCTTGTTTCTAACATATTTTATTCAATCTTTCAATCAATCTTTCATTACAAATCTCTTGCTTGTCTAATTTCCAAACAAACTTCAGTATCCAATTTAATCCTCTATTGTATTACCATTTTATCTAAAACATAAGGATGAAATATAAAATATATATAGGTATTTTATTTTGGTTAACATTTTGGTTGACATCATATTTTCTACAAATTTTTATATCAAATTATTTTTATTGTTCTTTTACCTTGTTTTGTCTCTCGTCACAATCTGCATAATCTCGATAAATTAATAATGTGTATTTAGACATCGCTGTCATTTTAAGAAACAATTATCACATTATCGATATTACATTTGTTAACCGTAAGTAAATATTCTCGTATATTCAGACATGCAGTAATGAATAGTTAATAAATATAGGAATGTAAGACTAGAATCTTGTTATGAATGTGTCAATGAAAAATTTACATCGATTAGCTTTCTTTCAGTTATTTCTGTGTTCGTGTTGCAGACAGGATATCGATATGATGTGTATTACATACGGAGTAGGTATCATAGACGGTTTATTAGTTTACGTAAGTCCTAGTTCTCTATTGCGCCTCAAGCGATGCTCCGGGCGTCTCGTAAACGCCTGCTTTTATACACGGCAGTTTCCAAGCCCGAGTTTCGAGGATCGACATATTTGGGCATTGCTGTCTGCAAATAGAGAGGAGGCCCCAGATATCGGGCATTCGCTTGAGCTGCTCAAATTTCATACCACCCGATATTACGTCCATTATGCAAAATCGTAATACGCGCGCCTCGCGTTTCTTTAAGGCTCCCACTTCTACGCCGTAGCCACATCGAATCACGACGTCAGAAAACGAGAAACGTGGACTTTTCTCCTTTCAGTACACGTTGGAATAAGCGAGGGAAAAAGAAGCCTCGAGAGAGTGCGGAATGTATTTTTGTAAGTGCGCCGTTGCGCAAACTGAATTTGTTTATTTCTCATATCGAAAAAGAAATTACATTTATTTTTACAGCTGTCGGTTCGTTCAATCTCGTTCACTTACAAAGTGGCTTATATAATGCAGCCTCGCAAATAAATATATAGATTTTCACAATTTTCTTTCATGTTTGATTCTTTGATCAATTTGGGGCAGTTTTCTTTCTTTGAAGCGAAAATTTGATCGTGCACCATCTCCTTTCTCAACTTTTTGATATTCAGCTTTGAGTTTTCAAGATATTTCTTCATCTCAAATTAAAATACTACCAAAGTATACTCGAGATAAAACGAAGAGATATATAAGATTTCCTCCCGTAAAGGAATTAAGAATCAAAGTAACTACCTCCGGTAACTGCCTGGAGCATTCGCAAGAACAAGCAATCGGGATGTTCCCTTCGTTTTCTCGGACGTTCGCCAATGAAAGTAGCCGAACAGCTAGAAGCCGGGACACTCGATATAATCGAGAACTTCTCGGTAACTTAGGCCGAGACGCCGCACTGGCGGGCGACGCGTCGGGGAATAGAGAGAGAGAAAAGTTTTCACCGCGCCGGATATATCAGGCGAGCCTGCCAAAAGCTAGAGCTACCCGCTTCCGCTGTTCCTCGCCACTCTGCTGCTGTTCTAGACGGCACGGCTGCACGTTATAAGCTGCTTACGTTCCCACAAGAAAACGCATATACAGCACAACGGCTCCATTAAGACACGACTGGTCGCGCGAGAAATAAAGTATAGTATACCAAGTCCGGTCGCGCGATGCACCAAGTGTCGAGATTTACTGCTCTTATACGGAGTTCCTCGCGTTTATCATTTTCTTTCTATCGTTATCTAACATATCTCACCATTAAAAAATTAATTTTTTATATTTTCTCGTTGAATAATTATAATACGTTAGGATGGTCATTTTTTAATTTATTATAATATAGAGAATGACTTAATAGGGATCGAAACATTTGTTATCAATCTTTCCAATATTATTTGTCTATTATGTCAGTACAATTATATTTTGCTTGATATAAACATTTTAACTTGTTTAATATTTTAATCGATTTTTAAGCAACGAACATTTCATTTGACTCCTTTATTTTTATCTTATTTTGATTAACTTTTTATTCATATGTTATATATAAATGTGAATAAATTATACTAGACCGTCATATAAATAAATCAGATAAGTAAAGAAAAATCAAATGCGGTCGAGGCTAGATGGTACTGCATAATGCTTCTAAAATTTTTATATAATATATCTTTTAATTATTTAAACTACGCGTTTATTTAAATCGCAATTGAATTAAGTTAAAACAGTAATACCACAAATTATATTAATCATCAATTTAATAATAAACCGAATAACATTTTAGGACACCGCATAGAATTTATTAAAATATAAAAACTTATGAAAAATATTCTTGAAGTAATATAAAAATGCATTTCATATATACATATTTATAATCGGAAATGAGAAAAGAAAGTAAAACGTACACAACAAAATTCCATTAAATATAGCGACTTTTATCGTGTTAAAATATTTTAAAATTATTTAATATTTAACAAAGTCAATAAACAATGACTTAAAATCAAAGTTACAAATTGTTAAGTATCAATCTGACTTCCCAAAAACTTCTATACTGTCGCAAAATAATCTTGACATAAAAAACTCCCGTTTGATATTTTTATAAATCTTTTACATAGGAAGCACAAGTTAATTAAGTTTTAATTTACAACTCGTAATTATAACGTAGATAACGTAATGTGTAAAATTTAATGCACAGAATTAAAGATAATCTCTCTTGAACGTTTAAAATAATGATTGTAATGAAACATCTCGATCCCTCTGACGCGCTTAATGTACCAGGATGATCAGGCTGGAGGGTTAATTTAGAGCGATTAAACCAAGCTAGAACGGTACAGTAACGTTCCATCCGATGGATCGTGAAGTGGAAGAGGTCTAAAACAACGTCAGGCACGTTGTTTTCGATAATCTCAAGCCGGCCCGGGCCGTCAATCGATTCGACAGCTCTCGTTCAATAAGATCGCATTAGTTGCAGTCGCTAACCGAATAACAAACACGTTGATTGACTGTTTATACGGGATCCGAGCCATTACTATGATAATTGTTTACTCGTCCACGATTACGCGAGCCAAATTATGCGAATTATGCGAGCATTTTGCGCGAGATATGTACCTCGTTCAAGTGCATCGAGTCGCAATGGAAACGTCGTCGCGTTTCTCGGTTATTATACAGCACAAGATATGCGATAATTCGGTGTAATTATATCGCAATTAAAAATTGAACCGCGAAGACTGGGACTACGTCCAAATTTTCTAACGAATAAAATATGTCAACGTCATTAAATAAATAATGTAATTAAAGATGTCATAATAATTGAAGATTCGTGATATTCTTCTTAGATTGACATTATCTAATAAAAATGACAGTAAATAAGACTGAAATGTTGCTCTTACCGTTATTTTTATTCTCTATTATTATTATAACTTTATTCCATTTTTGCAATTCCCAATTCAAGTGAACTGCATGCATATTATTTGTCGGTCTTGAAATAGTCCTAAACTAATAATATTACAAACAATTTAATATTACTAATGCCAATTCTTTGTAGTGTTTTAAAAATACTCGTTATATATAGGTTAAGTAACGTTAATTTTAATTTTGATTAATACAAACAACTAATATTTCTTTCATCGGAGAATTTCAGACAATGAGCATATAGTGTAAATTTTGTTGAACTGACATCATCAATAGTTTCTTCTCAAAAAAGAAATAATGATCGGAAGTGTCGAGCGGCTTAGAGAAAGAACTCTGTAATGTATAGAGTTCTTTCGATTCTCATCACGTATTCTGTCATGGCGCGGCGAAATGTACTTACCAGGTACCACTGTTCCTTGAAAAGCGGATCCGTGAACAGATTTTGAAGTGGCACGCCTCTGTTTCTTTGGCGATGAAACAGGCCGGCTTGCCGCGGGCGCGGACCAAAACCGCTGAAGAAGGGCTGATAATCGGCGAACGCGTAGGACGCGGCGTCGAAGTCGCGCTTCTTGCGCTTCTTCTCATGTTGCTGCTGAAACCAGTGCACCTGCAACCGAAAGCATACGCCGGATCTACAACGAGCGTTCTTGTGCCATCGCTCTATGATCGACTTCGAGCTACGTCATCGCGCTATAAACTTGAATAACTTGGCGGACCAACCTAAAAGCCATTAGCCGCCAGAATACGTTTTGTTATCTCTCACGTCATTACACTATAAGTTCCACGCGACATTACACGGTAATGTAAGCCGGTATAACACTCGAAAATTTTCCCAAGTGTCCGGAATATTTCATCAGTGTCATATCAGTCAGGTCTTTTTGCTGGACGATATCCACATGTTAATAATATGATGGACAAGTTATATCAAAAGAAAGGCATTTCAATGTTTTGGATAAAGAATGATTAATCACAAGTGATTTTAAATTATCGTGATAAAATTCATATAAAATTAAATTTAATTAAATATAATTGCTATAATATATGTATTGAGACATTAATATCGAGAAATATTAAATGGATTAAGAGAGAAAGCATTTATTTAGAAATACATCAACTAAAGCATCAATATCTTTTATCTAATATATATATTTTTAGAAATTATTAAAATTTGGATTTATTTAACATTTATATTTTTATGAAATGTTTAATAATTAACAAATATATTGATTTGATATTATTGTATTTCGAAGAATTATTTTATTGATAATTAAAAAACAGAAAAATTTTAATTAAGAGAGGGGGAGAAAGAGAGAGAGAGAGAGAGAGAGAGAGAGAGAGAGAGAGAGAGAGAGAGAGAGAGAGAGA